CAGTATTGGTTCTACAGTTCTTCTATTGATTGTTGACTTTACATCAGAGAAAAAAAGGTAGTGACAATTGTGGGCACGCTCCAAGCTCTATCATCATGATATCGTGGCATGGTTCATTGTTACTGTGTGCTCCATGTTTCGCCATTAGTTATGTAGGTACATAGAAACAGTGTTTCGGCCAACTTCACATCGTTTCTGAAAGCCTCAACATGGCTTAGGAATGAAAAAAAACAAAACTCCATCAGTCCGGCATAGTTCCCTTGCGTTTCTGACGTTACCTCTGAAACGCAGAGGAGCTAACCGGACTTAAAAGATAAGCTCATCTCAGGATTCACCGCTTAGTGCAGATCTACACTCGTTTATTAAACCGGTAGCGAATGGAATGCACTATCTATCCTTATAGAGCTACGATGTTGAGGAAATGCATGTTCGCATGCAAAAAACATGCATACTAATTAATCGCTCGCAATGTTGCATAACCGCAAAAGAACGCTATGGCTTGGCATATCTCAGATCCATCGCGTTTCCCTTGATTCCCCTTTCGAGTTCTTTTCGATATTTTTATCTGGCTCAGTCTCAGCGGTTCACAGAGGTGTGGTGATGCAAGCGGAACTTGCGATATTGTTGATATGTCGATTCATTTTATATTTTGCCATCTTGTCTTTATCTTCGTGTGATCGGCAGATAAAGGATAAAAGTAGAAAGCACATGCTGTTGGTCAATCCCTTTTGGGATGCGGCACGCATTCCTTAGTTATTGGGTAAGCTTTACGGCGAAAGGCTGTCAGGCGGCTCTGCCAAGGGTGCTATGCATTGAAACATACTATCGGAATTGATCTAATTAGCAAGCAATTCAGTTTCGGAAGTTTCAAGAGAATGTAGAATCCATTCTCTATGAGCAATCGTTATAGGATTGCCACCAAAAAAATTCCAACAAACTTCATGGTTTTCATGACAGAATTGCGATGCCTCCCTTCATCGCTCTTCGAAAACAAACCCTCCAAGTATTGAGTGAACTGTGAACGGACATGTCTACGGGAAAATAATTGCCAACGGAATGAGTATTCGTAAACATCTTAGTATGGTGTTGTGCCGAAGCCTAGTACGGATCCTAAACGTTCAAGTACAGTTTGAGACTCCAAAAATTTATTTTAAATAAGTTTTGAATGAATAATTTGTTAGCCTCTAAGTGCTGTTCAACAATTATTCCTGATTAGTTTCAGACCTGATGTAATTAACAAGCAATTCAGTTTCTCCTGTAACGTACCTTATCACTGCCCTCGAAAACAAGTCTCCCAACGTGCAGCTTGCGTGGGTTGTACACATATCAACAGGGAAACAAAAGTGCAACGGAAAGAACAGTGAAAACAGTTTCGAAATAGATGTGAATGGAAATTAAACTAGTGACCCCTGTGACCGCATTGTGATACGATTCCCTTCGAAACAGAGCACCAGAAATTCATCTAAACACCAAATCGCTAATGACACAGGCCCCAATGGATTTGAGATGACCTTAATGTCGCGAAATCCAATTGAAAGCAAACTCGATAAGCTTAAAGCGAGAAATTACGATAAAATTTCTGTGCAGCATGGAAGAACGAGCAGCACTTCAAGCAGTAGCTAGAGCCCAAAGGAATCGAGATGTGGCCTTTTTGTGACTAAAGGTGCGCTCGTTGCAGCGCCCTGGGGCTGCCAATCCTTTCTGAGCTCCGCCTCCGCCTGTGCTCCGCCCCTCAGCAGATCGCTGTTCGATTATCATTCTGAGTTTTTTTGTGGGGGAGCGTGTTGGGGGGGGCAGGGGGGGGGTTTTTGAAAAAAAAAAAAAAGGTGGGGGTATGCCACTTCGAGCGCGTATCCAATTTTTTTCTCATGGAATGCTATATCAATCAAGGTATGATCTCTGGTGGTATGATGGCAGCTATGGTTTAACGAGTGCCGACGACCTCTTAGTTGGTTGCCAACTCGTCCATTATCGGAGGTCAACGGGCAGAGGAAGTGGTCCCATTTTGCGCGTTTTTGACGGATTTCTTTGCTTTTTTCGCTACTAGGGCATTATTCAGCATCTTCACTTCCACTATGAGCACAACAGAATCCTATCGCAATCTCTCGCTTTAAGCATCAAAACATATGGAAATTCGAAGGTTTTGAGACAAACTGGAGTTGCATAAGAATGTTGTGAGAACAATATTTTCGCTCTAGATAGGACTCGAACCCGCACTTCTTGCTTACCGGGCAAGTGATAAAGATAGAGGATATAAGATAGTGCAAGAGATAAAGGCCGATGATAAGGAGAATACAGAGGTCACTCAAAACCGAACATCAGATAAAGCATTTCATTTCAATATTCCTTCCATTTGCGTTGTTATCATCAGCCCGAAATACCACTAAACCGCTATGCTCCCCAGAGTTCCTAAAAATGTATGGTGGATGTTCAAGAAATACGATAACGAGTGCTGGATGTTTTATTTCAACATCACACACAATCCGACCGCTAAATTCATTCGATGCATGGTGGTTGTTTACAGACACCACTTTAGCTCCGCACTCCACTGCGCGTATCAAACGGTGAGCTTCTGCAAAGATGGGCAGCCTATGGAACGGTCAGCTAACGCATTTTACGAAGCAACTCAATGTTTAGCGGTGAACCTAACGCTTTATCGGCTGTCCTGCTTCAACTAAAACTTCCGTTTCATGCGCGCGGTGCGTGCGGAGCCAAACCGGTATATTATAATTTTTTGGTGCCTCTAACTGTTGTTCGTCATTTATTCCAAACAGTTTCGAAACTGATGTAATTAGCAAGCAATTCAGTTTCTCCTGTACCGATCCCTTCACCATTGCCCACGAAAACAAGCCTCCTAAAGTGCACACGCGTGGGCTGTTGACAATATCAACAGAAAAACAAAAGTGCACTGGAAAGAACAGTCGAAAACAGTTTTGAAACAGATGTGATTGGAAATCAAACTAGTGCACTCTTCGCCTGTGGCCGCATTGTGACGTGAATCCCGTCAAAACGGAGGCACCAGACTCGTTGAAGCGTCAAACGCGAATAACAAACGTTTCGATATTATTGAATAAAATTCACTGCAATATACCGTCAAAAGTGCCTGACGAGGTTGCTAAGCATCGAAACATATTGGAAATTGGAAGGTTTTGAGGCTATTTGGATTTGCACAAGAATGCTGGGTTGTGAACAAGGCTTTCGATCCCGACCCAATACATGGTAAGCATACCTGAAAAACAGAGTTGTTTGGTTTGAGATGGATGCCTGGGGGCGTAACTTGTAGCGCACTTGCCCGGTAAGCGAGAGGTGCGGGTTGGAGTCCCGTGTGGGGCGAAAGTTTTGTTCACAACCCAGCATTCTTGTGAAACATTCGCAAGCGAACTGTTGCCAAGAACAGCGGCCAGAAATCTAAGGCATTTTGGAGTCGATGGAGGTTTCAGTGGTTGTCTTCGCCATTTTGCAATTGATTTAGTGAATCTTATTTGAGTTTATGTCTTTTCCTATAAGAGGTGCTCTTGGACCAAGGCATCAAGTAAGTCTGAAGGAATTCGAGGTAATTGTTCTCTCCAGTTTATCACTTAGCGGCGGAGGTGCAAGGTGTCTTAAACTCACGATTCCTGTTAGTATGATTTCTGTGAAAACCGTCACCTCACATCGTGATCTGGTAAAAGTTGGCTTCACAGTAAGATTGATCCTCTTCCTCTTCTTCAACAGATATCTTCCCGTTAGTGGAGAAGTTCGACAAATGAAGCCCATTACGAGTTGACGTGATTTATTTTTCTCGCAATAAGCTTCGCTTGTCGAGCAACATTCCTGTGAAACTTGTCAACGATGGGCCTCATCTTTATTTCCCCTTCAATTTGCTCGCTTGTCGCTAGTTAGACATTCTTCCCTGCTAACCTTCCTTTCGCAGTGTATGCCAACATTACGTGACAGTGAAGAAAGCTCAATAGTAAGCGCGCAAATGACTATCTGAGCGAGATGGATTCCAGCCCTGTTCCGCGCAAGTCTTTGAGAAATTGCTTGTTAAACCAGGCACCGACAAGGATATGGCTTCTCCAAAACGGCTTCAGAAGGTCCACACTGGAAGACAAATTCTACTGTCACAATGTGATCAATAACTATGCTGATTACTAAAAAAGGGGTCGTCGGAGAGTGTGGAAAAGAATAATGATGAAAAAAGTATTCATAGTATTCATTTTTGCCCGGGAGAAGTCGAATGTATCTCCTCTGTACGAACGTTCGAACTGAGTATGGTTCTACCAGCCAGATGTCCCACTCCTCTACTAGCTATCACGACACTTCTATGCAATCTCCAAATAATATTTCACGGTACGCCATAGCCCACATATTAACACTTCTGGAACTATGGTCAACAGTCAAATGAGATTTCGAGCATTAAACAGCAGCTCTCCAAAGTGCAGGTAACCGTACTTAGTACATGACGATAACAAAGATGACAACGAATGAAATATTTGAAAACAGATTTCAAAGGGATTCGGTGAAAACGTGATACATTTGATTGCACTCGACGTAATCCACTGCACATGAATAAAAGGCTAGGGTGGTAAAGGAATCTATCGCAATCAGACACAGTGAAAATGTTGTTCGTCGCTACACTGCTGCTGTTCCTACCAGGCATACTTGGTGTAGACTATTTCTGTATTTTCCGTAAGTGTAGCTATCGTTACCGGTACCCAAAATTGATCATTCGGTTAGGGGTCTGCCCGCGCTCGCTAAAGTGATCTTCATCTTCACGGAATGTAAAACTTATTTTGCAGGTCACCAATGTGGTAACGATTATTTCATGAAGGCAGTAATGTGGAAGTTCTTCTGGAAACAACAGGATACCCTGGTAAGTATTTCACTATTGCGTAGCTCTGAGAGCATCATGATCATGCACGCGGAGTTCGGTCTTAGCTCTCACCCAGATCGAATACCTGCTGGCCAGATCAGGCACCTACCACAAGAGGCGGCAGCCTGCAGTATACGTTACGTCAAGAAACAGTCAACCGTCCGTTAGACCAAGTTCAACGTGGGGTCGTTTTGGTCGACGGCCACCCCCTTCCCCAGCCACTTGGAGTTGGCGTCAACGACGATCAGGAACTTTCGTCCATCAAGTCTGCGTGAACACGGTCCCAGATTTTGTCTTCGACAGGCCATGAGCAGAGCGTAGTCTTTACCGGGTTCTTGGCGACTTCCTGGCAGCGGCTACAAGATTTTACTTTCTCCTCTGTGTCCTTGTCGATACTGATCCAGTAGCAGTAATCTCTGGCTGACATTTTCATTCTGGCCCAAAACTTTATTAGGAAGCACGTAAAATTGCATATCTTGAAGATTTCCTTCTGCTGAGAGTCCTTGAGAGTTTATTCTGCATAGTATAAGCCGTGACTGGTAGTTTGGTAGACGCATCTGTTAACAGATTCACGGCATCGGCGTTGATTTCGGCTATGACGACATCTTCGAGCGGTGTTGGCTGGTCGGCAATGAGACGGGATAGGGCGTCTGCTTGACCGAAGTTGCTTGTCGCCCGATGCTCGATTGTGAAGTTCTAGTTGAGCATGATTAGCGATACTGATCTATCATAGACCACACTCTATTGTGTCAGCTCTCCGAATTCGAACGCATAGAGCTCAACACGCACAGTAGAGCTTGAGAGTCTTCGTTGAAAACTTTTTTATTCTTCCGCACCAAATCAGTTTGAATCTTACTTTATTTCGAAGGTAAGCCTCTTTGACTGAACCAACCAACGTGTAGCATGGAACGAAGAAAATCATTTCAATGGAAAATCATCGATATGATCGGATTTCATAGAAATTTAAACTATTACACAAAGCTAACAACCAACAGAACGATCGGCCACTAACTAAATAGCATTAAGCAGAACAAGTACTCTATTGGTAAGCTTTTAGAGGCGCTGAAAGAGCTTGAGTATGGAGTCAGTATGGAATCAGTCACTAGATTCACTGCAATTGGACAAGGCCCACCACACTTCTTGATAAGTGTCCCGTACACTTTCCAAACTCTCTTTTTTGCATTTTTTGCATTTTCCCTAATCCTTTTCTTTTTGTCTCGATGGAGCTCATGATATGAAGGTGAAGTTACCTCTCCTTTAAAGACAGGTAGCTCTCTACAGCACCGCATGCCTTAACCCTTTGGCAAGATTGGCACCTATCGGCAGGCGCCACTCTGTGCGCAGCGTGGGGCAACGGCACCCATGGGGTACCATTTTAAAGTTTCCATCTTTGCGCATTTAAAATATTTTTAAGATTGTACTAATTATTAGCCAGCTACATTATATCTACATATAGCAGGGCGGAAGTGGTGTAGTGGCAAGTGGCACGCTTACCACGCGAGCGGTCCGGGGATCAAATCCTGGGTCGTGAGTCGCCCGGGCCAACCAAGCCTTCCATCCCTCCGGGGTCGGTTAATTGGTACCAGACTTGTCTGGGAGGATAAAAACACTGACTTGTACATCGGCTGGCCCCCGCAAGTCATTGTATAGGCCACATCGCATTCAAACGCCACTACGAATGTACAAATGGAAGTAGAATGCGTGCCGCATCCCAAAAAGGGATTGATCAACGGCAAATGCTTTATCCTTTATCCTTTATAATGGCATAACGTATAGCATAACAAATAGCACGTTCTGCTATGTGCAAATCCGCATTGTCGTAGAGATATGAAGAAGGGACAAATTTAGCTGCATATCCTGAGCTTCATTGAGACAGTACCGGTTAGTTAGGAAATCCTATGCAGGAAAAAGCTAGAGAAACGGAAGCGCTTGTAAAATTGGAGAAAATGGTATAGGCTGCTACAATGGGCAGAGACTTCTTTAACTGGTTCCATACTTAGGCTCCCCTAAGGATTCAGGAACTCTAAAAGTTTACCGTAAAAGTTATGATTCTGCTTCATACCATTTAATATGTAGTCGATTGTTCTATTAGACCGTAATTTTTTTTTACAATAGATACCTTGAAATTTCTTAGAGCTCGATCGTACTCGATAATATCCAGCAAATAATTTCTCATTATTCCACTCAACTGAATGTGCTGCTCAAGTGAGGGGAGCTGGCTTCACATTGGAATTTGAACTCGTTCGATGGGGCAGAAAAAAATTTAACGACGAAAAAGTGTTCCCTGACGACTTTTGGGTGCTATTGAGTAAGGGTCCCATGCATTTTAGGGTACGCTCACCCGTTTACGTGAAGTGCTTTTCAGAGGATTTTTTAGGAAACTGGATTTCATGCATGGACTTTTACGCACTGTCTGTAGCGGTGTTCCAATAGCATTGCCATCGTATATAGGGATCTTTTTGCAAATGTCTCCGAAATTCTCTCATAGAATATCTCAAAAATATTGATCAATTCGTAATAATGTGATTTTGTAATCATGTAATTTTACAACCCTCCACAGGGTCTATTTTTGACTATACAGTTCGCATCGAATTATCGAAAACGAGCTTTATTTTCAGTACTGGGATCAGAGTATGGCATTAGCGGCTAAGGACGCACTGAAATATAATTCGTCAACACCGCCGGACACCCTCAGAATCTACACTAAAAAGTTTGTTTATGTGATCATACTAATACGAATTTGAACACGCGCTTACGCGCACAACACGCTTTTGTAGCAACACAGAGCTGAGCAACAGAAATTCCCGAATTCAGAACCATTCACCAGCCTTTTGACCAAATCTTGTTAGCTGATCGAACCAACCGCATATCCCCTATATCATCCCACTATTCCTACTATATATGAAGCGCTATGTCTGTCTGTGTGTCTGTGTGTGTGTGTGTGTCACGAAATTCATAGCACGCGTCGCAGCAGTCGTTAGGAGCTGATTTTTTGATATGATATAGGGGGTGGGACGGAACATATTTGGTGGGGGTCGAAAGTGATAACGACTGATAAGGAGAGATAAGAGGCACTGTAGCACAATTTCCCGAGATTCATAGTAGCGTCCCGTCGCTTCTTCCAAGCAATCTACAAGGTGGGATGAGAACATATTTGGTGGGGGTCCGAATGTGATAACGACTGATAAGGACTGACAGCAACGATGTGCGTAAGAACGTAGAGGTCACTCAAAACCAGATTGCTAGATAATGCATTTCATTCAATATCATTTCGCTTGCGTTGTCATCGTCAACATCAAACACCATACGAGCGCTACTCTCCCCTGAGCTCCAAAAATGTTGGGGTTAATACGATAATGGTAGTTGAGGTTAATGGTGTTTCCATTCCAATATCATTAGCATCAAACATCATTGGAAAATCCCTAAACTCCTGAAAAGTAATTATCCTGACTTCGATGCATGGTGGTTCTTTACAAGCATCGCTCACTTCTGCACTCATCAAACAGTGAGCCTAAGCTAGAATACTTTGGTTACTAAATAGACAAAAGTGAACAATAAGCTTTTCAAAACCTGCGTGAAACTGTGTCCTCTTCACAGTGAAAGCACAATAAGTTTTCCTTCGTATCTCCACACCCTGCCTTTAATACTTACTAGTGTATGTCATTCACTTTTATTTTACTTTGAAGAGCTGCTACTTTCACAGCATGCTAGACTTTCAGCACGATGTATTGAAGATGACTGGACTGGACTGACTGAGATAAAAATCAAAACCGCATAATGTTTGCCCGCCACTGTTCACATTATAGTAAATAGGGGTAGAATATGAAATTTGCAATTCAAGCTATGGTAAGAATATCATGAAAAGCTGAGTTGGAATAGTGCCCCGGTAGCGTAACTGGTAGCGCACTTGCCCGGAAAGCGAGAGGTGCGGGTTCTAGTCCCGCCTGGGGCGAAAGTTTTGTTCACAACCCAGCATTCTTGTGCAAGTAGGTAAATATCCTAAGAAAATTAATTAATTAATTAATTCTATACACATAAAAATATTTAGGGGATTCGAGCCAGACGAACCGAGACTGGAAAATAAAATGCGACAAACAATGCAAGATTTCAAACCTGATTTCCCAAAGGTGAGTTTGAGATAAATTTGCTCGTCACAGAGTAGAAGACTTCATGCTATTGGCGATGCTGTGTATGGTGAATTAACTGACGCCTAACCGCTACAGTATGCGCTGCGACTCGTCCTTTGCCGCGTCTGCGTATCTTTCTTCGCCGCGCGACGGGCCTCTTGGGGGACACCCCGCCATATCCCGTCCAATAATCAATTTGAAGGGCCTGCCGCATGACATTGGATCTGGGTTCAATGCTTAACCGACCGTTACGCAAAGAATAACGAGGGGTCGTATTTGATCTAAGGAAAGGGGTGGGGCCGTGAACGCTGGAAACAGCGATTTTTTGGCACCAAAACGTGATAAAAATAATATAATCCCACAAGAGAAACAAGTAAAACAGGATTACCGTGTAACAATGCAACAGAACAACAATAGCAATATTATTACCACCGTCTCCAAGGAAGTCCAGGACCTTCGAATGCCGTGCGACTTTTAATTGCGGGCAGGTTCACGATGTCTCCCTGAGCAGGGAATTCTACCCTACCTTTCTGTCAGTGGAGTGAGCAGGCAGATTCGATTTGGAGGAAGCTTGATGCTTTAAGATCAAATCCAAGTGGGGTCCAGAATCCAGAACGGATTTTCTGGATTGATTTTTAGAGATCTTTTATAATTCTGGCAGAAGGGAGTTTTTCGGAAGATTCCGCACATGTTACTGAGAATTAATCATGCAGATTCCACCGCTTTTTACCGCTTCTTATTACCAATTTTGAAGAAATTATGGGCGTTTTGAGACTGAAAAAAATATTTTAGGAAAGTAACTTGAGAAGTCATGGAGAAAAAAACGGAAGGGAACTATTTGAAGGAAGATCTTCCTAAGAAAATTCACTACTGCTTCGCTAGCTCTAATCTTCTAGCGCTCCTTCGATCCGCCTTAGTTTGATGTTCTTACCTGCGCTGTCCCGCCTTGAGAGCGGTTCATGACCAATGTGATCTCACACGTTCAAATTTTTGAACACTGTAATTGGCTCACCCACCCCGCCGCCCCCCCCCCTACTTCAGGCTGAAAGGAGGGGATTGTACTGTTATCCCATAAAGGGAGGGGGTCGTAAAAAATTTGAAGTTTGCGCAAGGCACGCTTAACCCTAGGGTCTCAGGCGCACTTGCTACACGCTGTGAATTCGTGAGGATTAATACCCAATGATGTTTGTCGCTGTTTGAAGCAAATTGATCTATTAGCCGAGTGTTGCCTATTGCGAAATTTTCGGAGAGCAGCGCGAAAGAAAGTGTGGCGTAGGCCGGTCGCTCGTTCCCCTGATATATATATATATATATATATATATATATATATATATATATATATATATATATATATATATATATATATATATATATATATATATATATATATATATATATATATATATATATATATATATATATATATATATATATATATATATATATATATATATATATATATATATATATATATATATATATATATATATATATATATATATATATATATATATATATATATATATATATATATATATATATATATATATATATATATATATATATATATATATATATATATATATATATATATATATATATATATATATATATATATTATATGACGGTGTTTCAGAGCCTCTCCCTAGCAGGTACTAATTTATACCTCATCATCTCGATTGTGAGTGAGTCTTACTTATCGGTTTCGTTTAGATCCAGAAACTGCCTTATTCTGACGAACTTTGGATGCTTCTGCGAGTGCAATGAAAACGAGAGCCGCCTAAGAATGCTGTGCCTCTTCGAAGAAAAACCGAAAAACTCGAAAGTGAAAAACCTGAGACTGAAAAAAACTTGCACTATAAAGTAACTTCGGAATACTATCTGTTACATTCACTCATTTGAAGAGAACTCTCACGTTATTTAGAAGCCACTGAAAAGCCACAAAGTCACAGCAGTACATACTGATTACAATAGCGCGATTACAATAAGCGATAGCGCATAGTACGTGCCCTGAAGCCTTCTTACCCAGTTGTTCGAGATTTTGAGCGTGGGAACATCTGTACGGGTGCGTAACCAAGTACAGACATGACCGAAAGGGTTGGTTAGGTCAACTAAGCCCGACCTTTGCCTTTAAAGCCTTATTAATTTTTTATCGATCTGCGGCACAGAGAATGTCTTGACATCCCGAATCTTAAGCTGCCGAACGGGAAACTCGTTTTGCTTGTTATGAAGGCTTCACCAGTATGAAGAGTCACTTTCCTCGATGAATGCCTAGCACGTAAATTGAGCACCTTAAATAACTCCGTCGAGAAATAATAGAAGAATGAAAGTCAGGGTAATATGACGGAGGAAACTTTGGTTATGACGCATGTCGCGACGCCGGTGCGGCAAGCCTGGGGCAAGACATGACAGACTACAGCGTGGCTTGCAGCCCGGTGCCGTGATCTCCGACGATGTACGGAGGGACACGCGCTTCTGCTCTGCCTGCCACGGTGGATGCGGTCCTCATCCTCCATTGCCCCTGATCACGTCTTTCTGCTGATGGACCACTGCACTTAACCTATCCACATTTTCCCATGGTCTTAAAAGACACCTGCGCCACCTGCGCCTATCCGCCTATAACATTGTTAGCAATCACAGCGATGATCAATAAATGGTAACTTCTGTAAAAGAACACATGTGAAGAAAGAAAAGTATTTGAAAGAAGCGCTTACCACTGTGCTCTACTTTTGCTACATAACAGAACATAAATAAAGAAGTGGGCTTTATGCCATAAACACAATCTACGAAACCTAAACTAAACCTACGGGATGGTTTCCTTCGCCTAATTAAGGGCCGTCGATACCGTGAGCAGGGTGAAAATCGTGTCGAGGAAATAACCGCCTCTTTACGACCCCCCTCCAAAACATGGACTCTGATACGACCCCTTTTTGTCCTCTGCACATCCGGTTTCATATCAAAAAATGCTAGTTTCAGATGTGCGAGAGGGACGCAGCGCCGCTGCCACGCAAATGCGGCTTGATCCAAATGCTAGATTCAATTCTGCTCAGATTAGGTTCTCCTTCTTCAATTCTGCTCAGATTAGGTTCTCCTTCTTTCCTTTAAAGACATTTAACCTTTGCCACATTGGCCGGAAAGTAGAACATTGAAGGAGGTACTGCCCCTACACAGTTGAACAGTCTCGCGCTCCAGTATAGCGGCGCTAACTACCCGCGATCGCGTCGCGCGCTGTGCCTAGAGCGCGCTAGTTGGAAAAATCGTCAAATGTACCCCCTATTCAAAGGACTATAACTTTCTTTATTTTTGAATGCACGAGACTTCTAGTTTCGAAGTTGTGCTGAGCGTTTTTCTAAGCACGCCTATTCTCGAGAGTGGGAGACGTCGAGGAATTGTCGAGGAAATTGAAATTTACATGCGAGTTCCCACTCTTTGGAAGACAGTAGCTGTCTTCATTGGCAATGCTTTGAAAATCGGAGGAAAGCGTTGTAAAGTAGAAGATTTACGCTTTCTGATAGGTGCTCCAGTTGTTTCGAACGCTTTCTAGTTCGCGAGAAATCTGCGTCGAGGAAATGTCAAGGAAATTTTCGAAGCCACTCGAAAACTCTATTACTCCCTCGCCGTAGTAGGGAACTTCTTTGAACACCTTCAAAATGCTTCTGTACACGTCAGTTCGATGGAGTAAATTGAAAATGATGCACTTGGCGCGGATCCATTCCGTTCTTGTATGCGCCATGCAGTGACCCCACTCGGAGTCATTGGGAAGGTGTTTTGTCCTAGTGACGACTTGCTTAAGCACACCAAAAGATATTTCCAGTATTAACTAATTAGGATAACTCTTGTGGTCATAGTGATGTCTGATCATTCCTTTATTCAAATCGCTTCCTTTCCAACCCGTTCTGATGAATGACACGCTTGCGGTTGCAGGATCTGATGATGCCAAGAAGGCTGCGAATCTGCCTGTTTTGAACTTTCTACCAAGATGCTGTTCCTCCACTAAGTTCTCGAAGCATGTGCATCATTCTAGAGTAGATACTCGCTGCCCTTTCCCTACGATTCTTTTGCAGGACGCGTTGCCTTCCTATGCCATACTGATCACTACGAACCAAACCAACAACCACTTGTAAGATGTTATTAGGCTAAGTACAACACTTGTGAAACTAATGATGACAGCAAATAAGTGGCAGCAGCACCGTTGTGTCCGTTGATGAACCTTTTGATTACGACCCCCTCCCAACTCTCATCGGAGCAAATACGACCCCCTGTCGAGGATTTCCTCGACCGTTATTCACCCTGCTTCAGGATCAACCGTCCGTTGTTTTAATTCCAATAATTTGACGACCCCCTCTTCTGTGAG